CTGTATTATAATTATTCATCTTTAAAAGATCCCAGAGTGTTTTGCTGGTTAAGAATTTACTATGTGGTTAAGACTGAGCAATTACTTTCTGAAATTGTAGTATTTCTGAAGTGAGGCAGAGTTAGATTAATAAGCAGTATTATTGATTAAAGTTCTTTGTAGAATTAAGAAGAATTTACAGAATGTCCTTATGTTGGCAAATACATACTCACGCGTTTGTGAGTGAAGTGTAATGATGTCTGATGTATGGGATTTATTTGTAAATACTCCAGAAAAAAAAATGCATGGAGAGATAAAACAAGATTAGCAAAATGTTGATAATTTTTAAAGCTGAATGAGGCGTTTATTCTTCTTTCTGCTTTTGAGTATGTTTGTTAAATTTCTGTAATGAAAAAAAATCTGTAATGATGGTGTTTTTGTTTTAAGTTTAAAAGGGGAAGGAGAAAAAAACACAAATTAAAACATTGCATCTTCTGGGATATAACAAAAATAGCTTTTTGTCTGTAACCAGTGTTAACATTTTGCACAGCAGTGGTTGTCAAAGTTTAGGCCTCTGGGCTTTCCATGGAACCAGGCATGTCCAGGTCTTAGCACTGTGTGCAGAGAACCGAATGTATTTTCCTTAATGTAATCAGTTATAGGGATATTTATGCTTTGAGACAGAGAGCACAATGACTCCTTTCTTTTCTTTGGGGCATAATTATGAAAATCAGGAGTAGGGTGGGTCACAAGTTACTCCTTCCCAGGCTCATTCATTTTGCCTTGATAAGGATCCTCCTCTCCTCTCCCCAACCCCCAGGGACTGCATAGGTTCCTTGGGGCTTTTGCCTAGCTGTAGTGGTCCCCAAAAGGAAAAAGGTACTTCCTTATGTAGCTAGCTATGGAGTGCTTGTTCGCTTTTGGCCAGGGAGCAGCAAAGAGTCACCTGGGGTCCTGGGGGGGGTGTGTGTGTGTAGCTTTCTTGCTGACATCGAGGCAAACCTTGGCCAGCTCCCCTCGACCACTAGTTGCACCACCGTTAGTTCTGTTCGGCAGAAATAAATTGTAAACTTGTTGACATTTTTGTCCTCTTTACAATGCATTGTTTATTTTTCCATGACTGAGAATTTTGATGCAATTATCACTGAGCTTTCTGACAAAAGGGAAATAGCTGAGGAATTTTGATGAGTTCCCCACTTCATTAATCAGAACAAGCATCTCTAGTGACAGGGTTAGAATTACAATGAAGATTAGATAGCAAATTGCTGTTCCACCTAACGTCAATCATTCTCCGTGACAGCAGTGTGATTACACTTCAGGGAAGAGCTTTTCTTGCCAACAGAACGAGGGCAACTCCAGTGCAGGTAATAAATTTAGCAGGGTGAGCTGTCATTTCTTCTCTTGAGTGGAATCCTTAACGATCAAATGCTGTCTTGTGGAAGATTTTGAAAGGAGAAGAGCATTTCCCTTAAAACTTTCTAAATTTCACTTTGTAGTATTTTGTAAATCATTACAGATAATGTATTTAGGAACAGTTCTTCCCACCGTGATTTTCAGGATTTTACTTACCTGTACGAAGCCTTTTTCACCACTACTATGTTAAAGAGATGTGGAAATTAAGAATCCATGACTATATCTGGAAAACCTATCAGAAATAAAACATGGTACGGAAATAAAGGAGGTAGGTAAGAAATAGAGGGAGGTCAGGCTAGTTGTCTGGCTAGTTAGAACATTAAATTCTTTTTTTTTTTTTTTTAGAACATTAAATTCTGAAACAGAATTTATTAAATAGAATGTATTAGACAGAATGTATTCCTCTTCCAACCCAGTTGTGCTTTTCAATAGTAGTTCTTGTTTCAAAGAGCAAAAGGACAGAGCACTGCTGTAGTTCCAGAATCTAGTACTGAAGAGGAGGAGCAGGCCTGGGAACAGCAGGGACTCAGCTGGGGCGGGGGGGGGGGGTTGGGAGAGGTAATAGAATAAATAGATCATGACCATGGAAGTATGCCACTTCTCATCTCTTCTAAATAAAAGCAGAGTGCTAGCATCTTCCAGAGAAGAGGGACTAAGAATATTTTCCTCCAAGTACATTTATGGGACTCTTGTTTGCCTAAATAATGTTTGCTGTGAATCAAGATTAACTAAGTGGTGGGGCACCTGGGTGGCTCAGTGGTTGAGCGTCTGCCTTCAGCTCAGGTCATGATCCTGGGGTCCTGGCATCGAGTCCCGCATCGGGCTCCTTGCAGGGAACCTGCTTCTCCCTCTGCCTGTGTCTCTGCCTCTCTCTCTCTCTCTGTGTCTCTCATGAATAAAAAAATAATGTGTTTAAAAAAAAAAGGCAAAACTGGCTATTTTTGGTTCACATGTTAATTTTAAGTTTTAATGGGATTGCTCTTTTGATTAGACAAGAAAAACCAATAAGTTGATTTGAGTCCATCACTTTGCTGTTACTTCCTTCTATGTAGTGCAACTGAATTATAGACCTTTAAAACTGATCATTTTGCTTTCAAAATCTAAACTATTTTAAAAAAATATATTGACTGTAGCATTTATTAACTCAAATTTTCCCCTCTTAAATTAACATATGCTTTAGCAGTACTCTACCATTGTCAGTTATCACTATGACTTCTTTCTCTTGTGGGATAAAAGAAGCAAAGAATATGCTCTTCATTTTTTGGAGACTTTTTGCCTAATAGATTGGGTCATCAGGATGCCAGAATGTTTCAGTATTAGCCTTTGGTGTACCACTAACTTTTCACTCTGGGAATTTCATCATTAACCCTTCTCTACTTGAAGTTTAGCTTGGTAAGGTAAATCATGATAATATCTGCAGTCTCTCTATATTGTAATGATGGTCTGCAAATTAATAGTGCACGTAATATTGTGCTTACAGTAATGCTTGGAACTTTGTAGACAGGGAATGTAGAAAGCCAAGGACACTATTAATAGTGTTGTTATTGTCTAAGGTGGGTTATGTTTGTATTATTTCATCCTTAGAAATAGTCTAGGATTTTAAATTAGAGATAGCTGTACATAGAATATTTCAAGTCATTCAAGAGTCCTTTAAATGATTCTGGTAGACATAGTATGTTTTCTTTTGACCATGGCACACAAGTTAATTTTTTTTCCCATGCTCTATTTTGTGGGTTAGACAGGCAGGTAGTAATGCAAAAATTCTATCTAGCAGCTGTGTGTCTCCCGTTTTATGACTGGAGGTATATCCTGTATTCAGCAAATCTCCCTTCCTCCTTCCCTCTCTTCTCTTCCCTCCCTTTCATGGGATCTAAGATGAAGGTCTAGACAGTGTGCCCTCATTTGACATAATGGAAAGGGAATGAGAACTTTTAAAGTTTGCCATGGTTTCTCCTGCTAAATAATAATAAAGAGGATTTTGTAATTTGTCTAAATGGGAATAAAACTGAATTCTTGCACTTGCATAAAAAACATTGTTTGCCAAAAGGGCTATTTCTAAGAATTCTAGCATATGCTTACTTGCAATATTAGTCTTTTAATTTATATGCCCTCTTTCCCTATAACCTCTCAAAAGGAGAGATTAAATCTTTGTTCAGAGTTCCCAAATTTAAATCCAATGGTGGCTGCTTACTAAATGTTGAAATAGCAAAATGGTTGTTATTACAGGTAGAAGCAGTAAATACAGTTGACCCTGACAGGGCTAGCAAGTGGTTGAGGCTGGTCATTTAGGCCACAGTGTCACTTTCTGTGAGGTTACATTCTGTTTTATTGCTACCAACACTTGATACAACTCTCAGATTTGCCATTTTCATTCATGGGACCCCGTCCCTTCCTTCTGGGGGCTTGTAGTCTAGTGGAAACCAGTAAACCGGGGATCGTAATACAGTATAATCAGTGTTATGATGGAAGAAAGCAGAGATTGCTCTGGAAACACAGTGGAAGGACACTTGTATTTGGGGAGAATGGTTGGTAACAGGAGAACTTCCAGAAAGAAGGGAGTCCTGAAGTAGTCAAAGAGAGGGCAGAAAGGGAGGACTGAGAAATGAGCATGCACATAGGAAAGGTTAAAAGGTGTGGTTGAGGACAGCCCCGGTGGCGCCGCGGTTTAGCGCTGCCTGCAGCCCAGGGTGTGATCCTGGGGACCCTGGATCGAGTCCCATGTTGGGCTCCCTGCATGGAGCCTGCTTCTCCCTCTGCCTGTGTCTTTGCCCCCCCCCCGTCTCTGTCTCTGTCTCTATGAATAAATAAATAAAATCTTTAAAAAAATGAACTAAAAGGTGTGGTTGAGGTAAGGGGCAAGAACTGAAAGTTCTGTGATGTAGTGGAAACGTTTAGTTTACTGTGAAGGTAGGAGATGTAGGCAGGGACTAGATTTCAGAGAGTTTCTTAGGCTAGGACCATAAGTAAACTTTTCTGGGGACATCCGTAGGCTCAGTGGAACTTCTCTCCCTTGTGATCACATGCAAGTAGCAGAAGATCCCAAACATCCTGAGCACCTAGTCTCTCTAGGCCTGCTCACCGAAGCTCTGTTGTGGTCAGTGGTAGCTCAGCTGTCACTGTTGTTTTAGCTATCTTATTTCCAAGGACCAGAGATCCCTCTATTCTGTCCTCATGGGATCTTCCATGTTCCTTTGTGCAGGACATCAGCAATATTTGTAACAGGAATTAATTAATCAGTTGGTATTTTAAACTCCCAAGACAAGCTGGCAGTCCTACAGGAAGCAGGTATTTCAAGCTTCTCAAACAAGTCACTTAACCTGGGTCTTAGATGTGACTGTTCCTCCAACCCCCCAGAGGACCGATGCCTTACAGTGAGAACTAAGTATTACAGTTTAGGTAATGAGCCTGGGTACCTCAGCTGCGTGACTTGAATACTTTTTTGTCATTATTCACATAAAGCAGTTATATTTTGTTCCCCTTCATCAAGACCACAGTCCCTAGATTTGTTAGAAGAAGTGTGTGGGGGAAATCTGAGGGGACAGCTCCCAGTGTTAGGTGTTAGAGACACCGAAGCTGGTCAGTGGTGATTTTCTACGTTTCCGTTGCAGTGTCAGAAACGGTATTTCTCTGCCTGGCACAGTCTGATCCTTGATCGTAGGATTAAGCTGGGAAAAGCTGGGACCCTGTCCGACTGGAAGTTTCAACTGAAGGTCCTGCGAGCCTGGAGAGACTACACAAGATCCCAGAAGTTGGCACAGGAGACCCAAGCCCTGGAAAATGACCTTCGAGAAGCAAACAGGTACTTTTATTTGGATCACGAAAACCCCTCTGGTGTGTTTAGGACATTTTTCCTCCTGAGGAATCCTGAAGTAAACTCGAAAAATTCTATTCACTAGAATCATCTCATCTATTATAAAATGTGGGGATCACTGCTTTTTCTGCATTAACATCCCAAACTAGAAAATTTTAACTGAGAAAATTTTAATTCAAAAATACTAATGTATATGTTTTTTGTGAAGAAAACAACTGCTTTACCTTTTCCCTGTCCCCTGAAGTCGTAGCATCGTACCTTGGACCATCTTACAATTCGGAAGACAGAGTTTGTTTAATATGCCAGTAATTCCCATTGATGTTTGAAATCCCTGCCTGCACGCAGAATGTTAATTAGGGGCATAGGGACCATGCATCCGGGAGGGCAGACCTGCCGAGGTGCTTCCTCCCACCTTCTGTTCCTTTCCTCCATCTTCTGTTCCACACCTTATTTAGAGGTTTTTGATACCTTTGTATCAGCGTCCTCTTGTACTTGGGAATGACACAGAAATTGTCTTCAAATAAAACTTTGTCCCATCATCTTAAAATTACCAAGTGCAGCTGTGTACCCTGGAACCCCAGTCATGGCTTTAAAAGGATCCATTTGTTTATTTAGGGGGCAAGGACAGTTTATGTTCTGATGTGTAATCACCTCTCCCTCTGGCAATTCTGTTACTCATTCAGGCTGAAAATTTGAATGAATGGTGTGTGAAATCATTGTTACGTGGGAGGAAAGGGTGCCCTCTAGAGTTGTGTGGCCCTGTGACACCATCAGGCCTGGGTGGGTACACAGGAGCCTGACGCATTGGCCTCACAGTTGGTGGGGAAGACAAGGTCTAAAAACAGGACAGGTGTTGAGCGGCATGATAAACTGTGTAATGCATCCCCTCTGCTGCTGAAAGCTTAGCAGAAGAAGTGTCGGCGATTGAGAAGGCTCCTACAAAATGCCAGGAAGGGCTTTATCAGGAAGGTGGGTGGTGAGCTGGACTCTGTATGGTAAGTAGGACGTTCCTCAGTGGGAATGGGGAGATGAGGCGCAATGGCTTCTAGGATAGCCATCCCGGTTGGCTGGAGATCATCAAGCATGTGGTTCTCAAGTTCTCAGCTTGTAAAAGGCCTTGAATGCCAAGACAAGGAGTTTAGGAATTCTTTGTGAAATGAAGGTGAATTCTTGACTCTGTGTGTGTGTGGGGGGGGGGGTTTGTTTTTTTTTTTGTTTAAGTTCTTGACAGCTTTTAAGTAGAAGGATGTCCTACTCAATTTCCCTTTCTTTACAGTATGCTAGCGGGAGTCTTCAGTGGGGGAAAAAAAAAGGCAGCATTGAAAACTCTTTCCCATAATTCATTTCTAAGTTCTCAAGACCCAACGATTGATATAAGAAATTGGGACAATAGCTTACTGAAAAAGGAATGGCTAGCAGGATTTCCTGGGTAAAGGAGGGGAACTGGAGGTGCTGTAAAGGGGAAGCAATGTGAGTGAGGGCACAAAGGGTGTGGAAAACTGAGGGTTGACATTAAAAGTGGCCTGTGAAGTGTACACGCTGAAAGAAACTTGTAGAAGAAAAATCTGAAGAACTTGATAATTTCATTCCAATTAAACTGTTTAAATATAAAAATCACTAAATGAGGATTTCATAATAGCATGAGGTGCCAATTTTTTTTTTAAGATCTTAGAACTTTTTGTCTCGTATCTGTGACTTATTTTCAGGTGTCTATTTTTAAATGTTCAGAATGGGTACTACATTTCTTTAAAGTGCCAGAGTTAGAAAATACGTAACTTACAATCATTTTATTTTATTTTATTTTATTTTTTACTACAAAATATTACAGCAGGAAAATCTTAGAGCAGGAAGTCATCTCAAGGATCGTCTGATCCTGTCTGTCATTCTGCAGATGTTAAAAGCAAGGCTTGGAGAGAGTAAATGACTCTCTCGAGGTCATGAAGGTAAGAGTAGCTAGTCCACGACTAGAGTCTGGTCTTTCAGATTGAGTCAGATGCTTTTTCCTATACCACACTGCTTCTGTGTTAAATGTTAAACTGTATGTAGGTGGTGGTTCCCTGAGACAGCCGTATTTTTCGGTTACATGGCAATTTTAAATGGTTGTGGATGAAAAATAAAGCAGTAATCAACAAATGACAAGTTGTGCTAGAAACGAAGGAGAAGAAAGGCGCTATTAAATACGAGCCATCCTTTGTGCTGCTTTCCTACAAATCCCAGGCTCTCTGCATGTTTTTCTTTGTTCTAGAAATTAAGTTGGGTGATTTTGTTCAAGGAAGGTTGGGATATTAAAGTTGGGGAAAGAGCTCAGAGGTAGCTACTGTGGGCAGAAACCAAGAAATATCAGTGGGATGGAGGATGTCTGGAGAGCCTCTTTCCTGGTTTCATCAGAGTTTCTCCTAGTACCTCAGTGGACACCAAATACATATTTGTTGAATAATAAGTGAGTCAGTGAGTCAATGAGTTCATTTGCTTCCTCTCCTGCAATTTAACTTGGTAGTGTTTTCAAGCATTTTTTTTTTCTACTAATGAGCTCAAGGAATATAACAGGTTACTCACTGTAGAAACTCTCACCAGATTGGCAAACACAGGTGGTTCTGTGGCTTATCCTGGACGTGGAAATCATTTGGTCCTCATGCGCCAGCTCCTGCATCCACATTTGTTTTTGATACCCGGGGTTTTTCCTCACCGGCCTATCGCCCCACACAGGGCCCAGCTTTCCTGGCTTCTTTCTTCCTTCTTTCCCTTCTTCCTTTCTCTCTTTACTTTTTTTTTTCTTTTTTTTTTTTTTTTAAGATTTTATTTTATTCATGAGAGAGAAGGCAGAGACCTGGGCAGAGGGAGAAGCAGGCTCCCTGTGGGGAGCCTGACGTGGGACTGGATCCCAGGACCCCAGGATCACGACATGAGCCAAAGGCAGGTGCTCAACCACTGAGCCATCCAGGTGCCCCTTCTTCCTTTCTTTTTCTTTCTTTCTTCTATTTTTATCTGTCTCTTTTCTTTTAAAAGTAGTTACAGAAATGGTATTATAAAATTTTGATACAGTGTCCTGATACAATCTCAACATTAACAAGTATTCCCAGACCCTGAGGATTCAGTCACTTAGGTAACACCACAAAACCCTGGTGCATACACCAAGTTAGATCCTCTGATGGGGTCGTATTGGCATTTGAACTGAATTTTTAATCTGCGTTGCATGTTCATGTTCAAAGCTGGCTTTGCTTCTGCTATTGCCCCTCTCTCCCTCCCTCTCTTCCATTTATGGCCAGCCGTGGACAAAATGAGGAAGAAGCAGAGTTCATTGTTGGCATCCTCCACCCCCAGCCCTTCTGAGCCCCTGATTTCTCGGTCCTTCCCTCAGTAACCCCCACACTGCCTGTAGTCTTGCCCTCCCTTGCACCGGAGCTCTGGGCCTTTCCTGGAGTATGCTTTGATCCCTTTCCTTTGTCCCTGGAGCCCCTCACACTGTTCCCTGTGACCATCAATTGATGTTATTCCTCTTGGGAAGCTTTCTGCACTTGCACAGGTGGTGTCTGCAAACGGAAGCGATGGGAGTGTGAGGGTACTGTGGCAGGCCCGGGGACAAACTGGCCCTTTGGTAGCCCTCCAGCCAGGGCATTCGTTCGTTCACTCATTCTTTCATTCTGTCGAATAGAATTTATTCTTTTACCAACCAGCTTTACTTATGTTTACTGAGTACTGGGCTCTCTCTTGAACACAGGGAGGGGGACTTGAGAAAAAGTGTTAAATACTTGCCTTCTAGGAGTTTTCAGTCTAAGTGAAGTGAAAAACGGTACCCAAATACTAAAAATAATTGCGACAGAAGGCACCATAAGAAAAATACTTAGGAGTGACATAGACTTGGCTATCATGCGTTATAATCCCCCGAGGAGCTTTTTAAAAATAGGAATTCATGGGGCCCATCTTCTGAGAGAGAGGGAGAATGTGGCTAAGTAGAAGAGGGCGTTTTTCAGTTCGGGGGTGGGGGGAAACTGGTAAACCAGCACATAAGCAGCTTGTGAGAGAGTGGGCTGGGGTGAGCCCACATGCTAGCCTGGGGGTGGGGAGCTGAGCTGAAAATAGACTGTCAGGTATCCCCATATCCCCACTCCTCATTTGAGCATTCTTTAGGACAATCACTTATGGAGCCCCTCAGTGAATCATGTTCGATGCCCTTCCTTCCACGCACACCTGGGTATCCAGGCGAGAGGCCAGAAAGTGCAGGGCATCTGAAGCTGGGCAAGCTCGTCGTGTGTCTGTGAGACAGGCAGGGGGCCCAGACTTGCACTGCCTGGCTCACTTTTAAAACTCTTTCAGACAGAACCGTTGTCATCTTCCACTTTCTCCCTAGGGGCTACTTGAATGCATTAGCTTAACATCCCCGTTCCTGCTCATCCCAAATGCAGCTGTTCATACCGCTGCTGTTTTCATGTTCTGTGCCAGATTTCTGCACTCAATCAGATCACGAGTGTGTGGTTATTTGTCATTTCTCATTTCCTTTTTTAAAAAATTCAAGACGCTTTTTAGTACCTGGTAGTCTTGTCCTAAGATAGTGTTATCTTCCATGAGAATTTGTCTACATATTCAGATGTGTGTGTCTGTGTGTGTGTGTGTGTGTTTAATGAAATCTTTTTTTAAAAAGATACACAACGTGTAGGGTTTTTTTTGTTTGGTTTGGGTTTTTTTTAGGGTGACCCCATTTTTAAGGAGAAAACTGAGGCTTCCAAGCACTTAATCTAGTGTCCCCTGTCTAGTTAGTATTCTTCTTACAGGTTCTAGAACATGCACTGATCACTAAGCATCATTTGAGGTGTTGATTCTAAACAGCATGGTTGATTATTTAAATTCCTATTTAAACCTTTATATTTTATACTCTTAGGTCTGAGATAATAAAAAATATATATTGGTCTCTACACATAGTTCCTGGAACAGAGCTTCTAAGACCCTTGTAATTTCCTAAATGATGATAGCACTAGGAACAGCTCTTGTTCTAATATTAGTCTTTGATCTCTGCTCCTGACACCTAACTCCTTGCTAATTACCTGAGTGATAGGAGTGTCTTTTGTCCTATGAGAGAGTTCTGGGTTGGCTCCTGGAGGGCTCTGGGATGAGGGTTGGTCACCAGAAAGACCAAACCATGATCAGAAACTTGGAATTTTTGGCCTTGCTCCCCATCCTCTTGAAGAAGGAGAAAGGCTGAAATGGAGTTAACATCAATCATAGCTACATGATGAAGCCTCCATAAAATCCCAAAGTGCAAGGTTCAAGGGGCTTCCCAGCAGGTGAACACATCCACATTGACACCCCACATATATGGGGATAGAAGCTCTTGTGCTCAGGATCTTCCCAGACCTCACCGTATGCATCTCTTCATCTGGCTGTTCCTCTGTATCCTTCATCATATCCTTTAATAAACTGATAAACATAAATGTTTCCCTGAGTTCTGTGAACTACCCTAGCAAATTAATTAAACCCCAGGAGGGGGTAGTTGGAATCTCTAATTTGTAGCCAATTGATCAGAAGCATGGGTGATAGATAACCTGGGTTTGTGACTAGCATCTGAAGGTGGTGGGTGGGGAGAATGGGAAGACTTTTATGGGACTGAGCCCTTAGCCTGTGGGATCTGACACTGTCTTTGGGGAGATAGTATCAGAATTGAGTTAATTCTTGGATATCCTGCTTGGTGTCCAAGAGTTGCTGTTGGTGTGGGGAAAAATCTTCACACGTTTGTAATCAAAGTGCCAGAAGTGAGGTATTCTAAGAAAAGATAAAGGAGACACACAGGAGACACACACAGTAGGGGGGAGAACCAGGTTTTTCCTTACATAGGAAGGAAAACAGTTTTTCCACTATATTTGGTCTTTAGGGGCAGCCTTTCTGTGCATGTAGTTATTTAACTGTGATGATCAATTTATATGCCAGAACTTCCCAGATTTCAGCTTGGAGACATACTGGGACAAGATGTTTTCCATAAGGGAACTCTGTCCTTCATTTTATGATTAGCTGGGAACTGTGTTTGAAACCATTTCTTTTGGTTAGCATACCTAAGTATTGCATCAGATTGAGATTTTAGGAAGTTTAAGTGATTTTTCACTTTCAGAAATATTTATGTTTTTAGTGTCATCTTTTAAAAAATATGGAAATTAGCTTATTTGGAATATCACTGCAGAAACAGGAGTAAGACCAGCTTTGTCTCTGGATCCCTAGACTCTGCATTTCTACTTTTCCATCTCAAAGCACAAATGTAGATATTTTAAATACACTTTGAAATCCCCTACATAACCACTAGAGAGTCAGCTCTACACACTATGGTCAATATGTAATTTTTACCCATTTTCTTACTGTTTAGTCTTTTTGATATAGCTGCCGAAATATTTTTCTCTTTGTCTTTTATAGTGTCCAAATTATCTCTTCCATGATAGTTGAAACCCTAGTGCTCCTTTTGGCTGTTTATGCTATAAAAACATGAAATTAACACATCAGGTAAATTTCACACTCCCCCTTCCTGAGCAGATTGATGTAAATTGAATTTCACATTAATCAGAGAGGGCAATATACGTCTTCTATCCAGTGGAAATTTATTATTTTCACTTAAGAAAAGTGCTATAGGCTTTTTATTTGTTTCACTATTTAAACATTGATATATTTGGAACTTTTTTCTTACCTTCTTTGCTACCTGATTTATTATCCTTACTTCCTCTAAAATTTTTATTTTATGGTTATTCAGTCCCATATTAGGTAATTTATTTCCATCAGATTAAATCCCATGTATAAATATTTATATTAGCACCTATATTGTACTTTTATTACAAAAACATCAGTTAATCAAATTGAGTACCTATCATTAATACAGTAGAGGGAAGCAATTAAATACAATGAAATATGCTGTTGGCAGAGTTGTTAGTGTTTATCCTGAATTTTACTATTTCAATTGACTCTACTCTCACTAATTGGTTGTTTCATCCAACTTCTCTGACACAGGTTAACTTCTGTGACTTTAAAGTAGTCTTTTTCAAACTAAGGGTTTTAACCCATTAACGGGTCCTAAAATGAGGCCCAGATGAGCTATATTTTGTAAAGAAATGGAACAGAGCAGAAATGCTAGAATGCACCTAGATATTGTTTGGCAAGACCTTTGTTTCAATTACATATACTTTTGTTTTGTACATACACACATAAACTTGTATATTGTGTCACAGTGTAACATTTTTCTTATTATAGATGCCAGTCAGGAAAGCTTTAAGTCCCTTAAGCATTTAAGAACTCTAGAAATGGGGATCCCTGGGTGGCGCAGCGGTTTGGCGCCTGCCTTTGGCCCAGGGCGCGATCCTGGAGACCCGGGATTGAATCCCACGTCGGGCTCCCGGTGCATGGAGCCTGCTTCTCCCTCTGCCTATGTCTCTCTCTCTCTCTCTCTCTCTCTCTCTCTGACTATCATAAATAAATAAAAATTTAAAAAAAATTTAAAAAAAAAGAACTCTAGAAATGTTCTCCTGACCCATTGACTTAAGAACTTTGATTTTTTTTTTTTTTTTTAACATACAACTCCAAAGAGTCCATGAGGAGAGTTAAGCATTACGGATGTTTAACTGAAATGGGTATCCAAACAGTATTATAGAGAACTTGAGTCATCTTTATAAGACGAAATCAAGTAGTAGTTTTCTCTAAATAATGGTAGATTTTCAACCTCAAAACTGATTCCTGATCTAATATAAAAAGTTCCATACTCTACAGCTTACTTCTTCAGGGACAATAATCATCCACTTATAGATAGAATTTAGACCCCTCCATGCTCGAATTCTCAACTGGCTGTCCCAACAATGTCTCCTGATGGGGGTCCCCTTTGGGAAGGGAATAAAGCAAGCAGTTCCCAGCCTCACTCATTGATGTCCTCTAACATTATGAAGTTTCATAAGTCTTATACTTAATTCGTTATTGACAGCTCACTTGTTAAATCTTGTTCCATTCCCTTTCTCCCAAACCTCTGTCTTCCTCACATTTGCAGACATGGCTGAAATCTCCCTCACACATTCATCTTTTTTAAAGTAGTTCTTTATATGCCGATTTCTCTTGCTCCTTCCCCTCCAAAAGCTCTCAGAAACTCTTTTATGGTAATTTTTAAAAATGTAATATGCTCTGTGACGTGATAGAACTCTTAATTCTGAGATAATCTCTTAAGGTGCCAACGTCCTCTACAAGCAGACCTTTTGCACCAGGGGATTTGATAAAGCGATTCTATTTAGCTTAAATAAAAGGATATGCTGGATCTAAGATGGAACATTTCGGGGACTCTTTTAGACTTGTGTTTCGTTTATATGTTATCAGCTAACAAGCTGTAAATGGCTTCATCTTTTTAATGGAAATACTCTGTTGCTTAGAAAACAACAACTGGCCACTGAGTATAACCGGAAACAAGTTCTCCGACAGCACTTTACAGAATGGCAGCGTTGGCACCGTGTGGAAATCCTAAAGAGAGAGCTGGCCCTGACAAAGGAGGAAACTAGGAAGAAAATGAATGAGCTGCTGGAGGCAGCATCACTAGGGAAACTCAGCACAAATGGGTCATCAGGCATCATTCTACTTGAGGAGGCAGCAACTATGGTGAATCCACTTAGAGGAAATGGAGAGGTACGTTGTTTTTCCTTTGCTTGGTCTTCTGCTTATTAAACACTGGCATTTGCGCTCTGCACTGGTATAGCCTGGGTTATATTAGCCATTGTCAGATTGCCTTGCCTGGACTATCTAGAAGATGTGAGCTGTTTGCGGTACACAGAGGTTATCTTTAAGTCAGTGTTTATTTTCTTGAACCAATTCTTTTTTTTTTTTTAAGATTTTATTTATTCATGAGAGACGCACAAAGATAGAGACATAGGCAGAGGGAGGAGCAGACTCCCTGCGGGGACCCCAATGCAGGACTCGATCCCAGGACCCTGGGATCATGCCCTGAGCTGAAGGCAGACGCTCAACCATTGAGCCACCCAGGCATCCCCCAAATCTTTTTGTATAGCATATATGAACTTTGGTATTCTTGAGACTTGGAGGGACATAATATAGAGAAGGAACTTAAAACAACTAAGTGAAAGACTCCTTCAGGAACAGTTATATAAAGCATTGTTTATTACTCTTTAACTCCTCTAACTTGATCACCAGACATTTCTTGTCTAAATGAGCTTGTGACACACACACACACACACACACACACACACACACACGGGGAATTTTTAAGTTTTTATTTTTCTAATAAGAAAAATCATTTGTGTTAATTGGTAATTTGATAGGAGAAAATGACAGGAAAAAGCAAAGTAGCTTATAATTCTATCATCTGGAAATAACCACTAGTAACATGTTGAATAGCTGTATAGTCTTTTCTCTATTCAGGCATATGCAGATTTTTCTCTTTAATATTTTATTTAGCTTTTAAACTTTCTTCAGTCAAGCTATTGAGGGTATCTGCTTTTTCATAATACATAATACAGAAAAACTAAGGCCATTTTTTTAATAATGTAACTATCATGTTTTTCTGGAAAAAAATGCAATTTTACAATGTAACCTGAGAATTTTCTATATCACTAAATTTACTGCTGGAACATTAGTTCTCAGCTGACAGTAAACCACAGATCAGACCTGCTAAATCAAAATTTCTGGTTGTGGGGCGCCTGTATTTTTTTTTTTTTTTTTTAAGTTTCACGGGTGAATCTGATGAATACCCTTTGATTAAAGACTACCATTCTGTGACATCATTTTGTAATGGCTGTAGGATATTCTATCATGAGCCATAGGCTAGAATCTATTTATCTTTTTCTGTATTGCTAGATATTTAAGTTTCCAGTTTGTCACTATTGCAAACAATGCTTCAGTGATCATCCTTATGAAGAAATCTTTGCACACATCCACTTTACTTAAATGCTTTCCTTAGGATAAATACCTAAAAATAGAATGCACATTTTAAAGAATAATACCAAATTGGCCCTCCAGAAAGGTTATGCCAAAAAAATGCCTATCTTCCTGCCTGGTAACACAATTTTCATTTTTGCTAAGTTGATGGTAAAATATTTTCATCATCTTATTGCTTCAGCATTTGCATTTTTTAATTAGTGAAGTTAAACATTTTTTTTTTAAGATTTTATTTATTCATGAGAGACAGAGAGAGAGAGAGAGGCAGAGACACAGGCAGAGAGAGAAGCAGGCTCCATGCAGGGAGCCCGATGTGGGACTTGATCCCGGGACTACAGGATCATGCCCTGGGCTAAGGCAGACAGTCAACCACTGAGCCACCCAGGCATCCCTAAACATTTTTTATAATGGCCATTTATATATATATATGTATGTGAAAGTGGTTTATTTCTAGATAGATATTTAATGATTTGTCTCTTCATGCCCTTATACGTTTTTCTATTTGATTATGTATCTTTTTCTTATTTATAGGAGCTCTTTATATTTTTAAGACTACTGATGCTTACATTACTATATATTTTGCAAAATTTTTTTCATTTGCCTTTTTGGATAAGTTTTGGGGTTTGATACTATACAGAGTTGTTATAAAGTGAATCCTATCAGTTTTTTCTTTCATAATTACGCTTGTCATATTTGAAAAACCCTTTGGGGAAGATCCTCTACCCTCTAACCTTCACCCCAGACCCCACCACATAATGTTATTGAGTACTTAACTTAGACATGTAAAATTAAAATGGGCACCAGAAGTACTGCAATCTTGCTTTTTACCTTGATTACTGCCAGCAAGTAGGCTGGTTTTAATTCGGGCCTAGTCTCTCTGCAGAGGGTATCATGATGTTTATTGGAACTTATGTAACATTTTAGTCCCTTCCTCTAAGCACTTTATCTACCTTTATGTCAGATAATTTTGTTTCCATTAAGACCCAAGAGTCTTCTATCTTAGGAAATAGCTGTCTGAACTTTTTACTTTACAAAGTTAAACTGTTGTTATCTGTAAATTTGAAAAAAAGTCAACAAAGTATTTTTTACTTGCAGAAAACAGAAAAATTACTGTGTGTATATATAGTATGTTTATATATATAAGCATATATATATAGTGTGTGTATATATTTACATATATATACATATATGACTCAAGAAATAAAAGCCTTTAAATCTCTGAAATTAAGAACTCTGAAAAGGATTTTATTAGAAAAGGATATAAAAAATAGAACCAGTGAAAATAAAAAGGTATATAATAGACTCTCTAGGTTATTAGATAAACTCTTTTTCCAGAGTATAAATATAATATGAACAAATAAAATATGGTATCTTTAGTTAGATGGCCACTAGTTATACAGTTTTGGGGCTCATGTACCACCAATGCATACGTTATACCTTGAAATTTTTCAAAATTATCAGTTAGCTAATAGATGACTTTCGCTAATTATGCCAAGCTGTTCCGTCCTGTTCTGCTAAGTACAATCTGTACCATTAAGCTTCCTTTCATTCTCTTATTTTCATCTTGAAAAGTTACCGTGATCCAAAAGAAATCTTTGGCTATACTCAAGGCTTTTACAGTCTTGCTGAGTTAATAACGTATCATTATCACAAAGTTTAAAAGGGCCTAAAACATAGACCCTGCTTGATGCTAAATTACTTAAGTGGGTGTTCTCATGAATAAATGTCCATTGACATTTCTGAAATAGAAGGTTATTTTTTAGTCTTTAGCATGTCAGAGTTCCCATATATCACATTTTTCACTTCAGCTGAGTCTATAGGAACTATTTCTATCACCATGAAGAATATTTTTGAGTACCTTAGTACGGTACTCTCTTAGAGCGAGAAACTTCTAAGATATATAGTTCATTGGCTTGATCAGACCTTAGGCCATACAGTCAAACCATTCTAGGAGAGACATTTTAAGTTGCATTAGTTTGGCCAGGATAAGTTTTTCCAATTAAGGATTCTGTTTCCTCCCCCTCTATATAGAACTTAAAATTGAGTCTGATACCTCAGTCTGTTAAGTGAGATCTGTTACATGATAAAGCTTTGAGGGAATCCCTTAGTGGCTCAGCGTTTAGCACCTGCCTTCAGCCCAGGGCATGATCCTGGAGTCCCGGAATCGAGTCCTGCATCAGGCTCCTTGCGTGGGGCCTGCATCTCCCTCTGCCTGTGTCTCTGCCTCTCTCTCTCTCTCTCTCTCTGTGTGTGTGTGTGTCTTCCATGAATAAATGAATAAAATCTTTAAAAAAAATAAAGCTTTGAAAACTATTAAGCCATATACTAAAATATAATATTATTGATAATATTCTTATGTAAGCAGATATTTGCCCAGATAGTTGGGGAATAGTCTGGAGACCTGTAAGCTTTAATCCAGGCTTTGATCCTGAGAAGGAGTGAATGAATGAGTCAAGTGAGTGAATAAGTACATACACACATCTGTACATATCCTGGGATTAATTTATTAGTGACATGAGAGGCATGGAGAGAATAGAGCTATTACTGATTTGTAAAGGTATTTGTTAGTTTTCAAACATTTTTTTTGTTTGTTTGTTTAAAGATTTTATTTATTCATGAGAGAGAGCGAGGGAGGCAGAGACACAGGCAGAGGGAGATGCAGGCCCCACGCAAGGAGCCTGATGCAGGACTCGATTCCGGGACTCCAGGATCACGCCCTGGGCTGAAGGCGGCACTAAAACTGCTGGGCCACCGGGACTGCCCAGTTCTCAAACATTCTTGAGGGAGAATATATCCTTCCCCACAAAATTCAGAGTTAATTCGTGTAGGTTAGAATTCCTGTAATATAAAACTGAGGTAATCCTGCCTCATTCACAAATTGAACTATCCAAATTAGAAATTTCTTTTTCTTAAGATTTTATTTATTCATGAGAGTCACAGAGAGGAAGACATAGAGGGAGAAGCAGGCTCCCCACAGGGAGCCCGGTGCTGGACTCGATCCCAGAACCCTGGGATCACGATGAAGGCACACAGTCAACCACTGAGCCAGCCACTCAGGCATCCCCAAATTAGAAATTTCTAAGAGCACAGCTTTCCTCCTGCAAAGGTCCTGGCCCATGGCAATCGTCTGCGCTGCAGCCACTCAGCCAAGCAGTTGCCGTGGTGAACCGCAGTGCACCTTCTGAGGAGAACTCCCAGAGCTACGGCTGCTAGCCTCTGACGTAGCCCTGCGGGGAGCCCAGGGCGGCTGTGCCACTGGGCCAAACAAGGCTGAGGAGATGAGGCGAGATGTCGCCAACACAGTCCTTTAAGTAGCTGAGCGTAACCTGCTCTTCCTCTCTCAGGTGCCTGCCAGGCCTTCCTCGGGGAGCCGAGATTGCGAACCCAGCCCCCACCTGGGGACAGCAACGAAGAGCCACTTGCAGGTTCCCCTCCAGCATGTCCCTCCGAACACACGTGACGATAAGCACCCCAAGACCCCAGGGGTCGAGCCCCCCCAGCAGCCTGGCGCCTACAAGCAGCTCAGAACCACGAGCCAGAAAGCAGAATCCATCTGCAGGGGTCACTTCCACAACCGCCATGTCTTCCAGCAACAGTTGATCGAAAAGCAGAAGAAGCAGCTTCAGGAACAGCAGAAAACCATCCTGGAGCTGAAGGAAAGCCAGCGGCTGGCGGAGGCCCGGTGGGCAGCAGAGCGGGCCGCGGCCGCCACAGAAGCACAGAGCTGCCCGCTGACAAAGCCCCGAGGGAAGGAACCCCCGAGAACCGGCCAGGTGCTTCCAAAGTATGTCCACTAATGTCAGAACATTCTTTGGACTCAGGATTTGGGGTTTTTCACGTTGTGGTCGAGAGGCCCCTGAACGGTTGCCCAGCTTCCAGGCCTCCGTGATCTCTCCCTTTCTTTTATTGTGTACTTTCCAAACAAAGAAGCCCCCCTACATTGTGAGTGGTAGGTGACGGGTACTAATAGGTATCTGAGGCACTGGCTGCCCCTGAGTTGCACAGTTAGCACATGTGTGGTGCTCCCTTTCGGAGGAGCTCTGTTACTATACCAGTTGAAGAGAAAAATGCTTACTTGCTCTACCTCAAGGTTTCTGATTACGTTTAGTTCTGAGAAGCCAGGTTGTACAGTATCAGGTGCAGATGGAGCAGCCCCTGGGCTAGCTAATTACCTAGCTTACATTTGTAGTTGTTCTGGATGCAAGTAAACATCTTTGAGGCTGGACTAAGTCCAAATTTCTCAGATGGTTTCAGACATGTTTGAGACCTACTCAGTACCTGGGATAAACGGTACGATAAGAAGTGGGTGATAGATCCCTACTGATTTGAAGCACCGGGAAGGGAGTCACAGCCCCCGACTCACTGCAGACTCAGGCCAGTAACTCAACCTTTCCACCTCCACATAACAACAATTTATTGAGTGGGTTTGATACATAGCTGAGAGTAAAAACTAATTAAATTTTGTGAAATGCTTTGAGTTCTTCAGGCTCGAGAACTTCAGAGAAAGCTGGTTATTTGTCTGAATTCTTTTCCTTTAATTTTTTTTTTTCTTTGACCTCCAGTTCACCCGTTGCTTCCCCTGGGACCGACCATAGAGGAAATGACTCCCAGAATTCTCTCTCTGGACCCAGAAGGATTCCAAGGCAGCTGATGGCACCCCATCCCATACTGAAAGGCAGGGGGGACTTGGTGGTGGTCTGGTAGTGGTTATCCTCCTTCCTGATACAGGACGTGCTGGGACTGTATCCTGGCACTCAGGTTTTGAGACTTGGCAGATCCTGGTCAAAGATGGCTAGACATGTGAGGAGTGCATTGCACCAGAGTTCCATGCATTTTTTCCTGCCTTTTCTGCCAAACGTTTTGGCCTTCCCAAATAATACCATAGATAGATAGATAGATAGATAGATAGATAGATAGATAGATAGATAGATAGATAGATCTAGCTAGCTAGCTAGCTAGCTAGCTAGCTAGCTGAAGGGTATATCATTTTCCTGTAATTTGAGGTTTAGATTATGGGGAAAAAAATGGGACAGTTACACAAATGAGAAAACTCCTGAGTAGCTGGTAAGGACAAAATTGATAATGATCTATGATTATATTCTGATAACCTTAAAATATTGTTCCATTTATAGCAATCCACATCATTTTATGCATTGTACCTTGATGATATGCCTTTAGTAATGAAATCTGCAAACCAGACATTTTAATCTAATAACATTCTTGATGCATGTAGAAATCATTATCTAAAACAGACAATATTATGAGAAGAAAAGCATTTGCTACCTAGTGAGTCTGCTAATTGTTTTTACTTTATACGTAGTCAGGCACTGTACATTTGTTTGTGTAGAGGTAGGCATGTTGGCAATTATATTGTGGTTGTAAATCTGATTTTTCACCTTTGGCAAGATTGCTGCCCTAACAAGAAGTGATGTCAGCCGAAGCACACTATGCCCGAAGTCCATTCCTTTTAATGAAGAAATTAGCAGTCTCTGCATTGACTCTCTGCCAGGACAGCAGTTTATGCCATCTTTGTCTACCATTGAGAATGATCAGGAAATGCCCAGTTCCAGTGGGACTATTTTTAAAAAATTGTTTGCTCAACGAGTTAATCATATTTTAGAACTCCAGGCTACTTTTCAAGTGGTCTTTAATGATTAGCTCTAGAAGAGATGGGGAACGCACTTATTACCAGAGACTCTGTTTCTCAGGGTTTTCACTTTAATCCTCTAGTTTATTTCTGCCTCTTTAAAGACAGCCTCACTGCCTCCATCTCTGGCACCCCCACACTTCTTTTTCTAGCGATGCAGCACTTAATATCTGTAAGAAATAGCCTTGTGAGTTTTTTGTTCATTAATTCTTGAAACTTGAACTTATATTTTCTTCTTATAATATGGCACAAAGAAGCAAAAGCAGTAACTGTTGGCTGACTTAGGTGAGCAGAACTTGATACTCCTCCTACCCGTGTCGCTCTTCCTGTAAAAGCCCCGACTGATGACAGAGTCATATTATCAGACCATCTTGCACATTTGCTGCTTTTGGATCGATATTTAATAGACTGTCAAGAACAGGAGTCTGACACTTGAATTCGTTCAGATGCCAGTTCTCCAAATGCCTAGTACAATTCCATTTCCTGCCCATCTGGATATCTATCCAGGCCTTAAAACTAGATTTTAATGTATTCATCGTGACCCTAAACTTTAGTTCGTTGTTGTTGTTGTTACACATACAGACATAAGTATAATGACCCAGGGAAAAATTGCAGACTCAGTGGGATTTGAGGATTGATTGTATTGTCAAAGTATTTGTTAGCTGTAATAAAGTTTTCTCCATTCATTAAAGAAATTATCAAATTAAAATTCTGGTTTCTGGGTTTCAGTAATAAAAGTATCATCAAGGCACATCGTCTTATTTAAAGCAGTAAATTATTCTAATAGAAAAGTAAAAAACATAATTTTCAAATTATTCATCATTACTGAGGATAGGATCGTAGGTCTTTAACCTGTAGAGGGTATATAAATAACATATATATACTTATATATTTACAAATACAACTAATATTTTTTAAATAGACATTTTATATTTATATATTTATAAACAAGTAAAAAAATGTTTTTGAAATTGTGAACCCTCAATTTGCAAGAAAACCCTAGCAATAACACTAAACTCTGCTATAAAATCTGGAGACATTTCTCTTGCAGTGTTCCTTATATTTTTGATATTGGAACTCTGTTACTATTTTCTAGCCATGGAAGAGAGAGCAGTTCAGCGAGCTGAACGTAGGCGGATCTTGGCAGAGAAGAAGAAAAAACAAGAAGAGGAGAAATTGGTAAATCAAGAATGAAACCTGAGGCAAGAAAAAGGATTTGTATAGGTCTTTATTTAAAAAAGAAATGAAGCCTAGAAGTACCTGGGTGGCTCAGTTGGTTAAGTGCCCAATTCTTGATTTTGGCTCAAGGCATGATCTCAGGGTGGTGAGATCAAGAGCCCCGCATTAGGCTCCGTGCTGGGCATGGAGCCTGCTTAAGATTCTCTCTCTTTTCCTCCTCCTGCATCCCCACCTCCCTCTTAAAAAAAAAAAAAAAAAAAGAAAAGAAAAAAAAAAATGAAGCCTAGCTTGTTTAAGTGTCTTGAGACAATGGAGCTAGATCAACTTTGGTAATAGCTTTTTATCCATTGGCCTGAACTCCGAAGATGTTAGGAAAAGAAAGGGAGAAAACAATGACTCCATTAGTTTAGCAGGAAGGATATGTTATGAAACTTGATGGGAGCCAACAGTTGGGAAGATTTACTCATTTAGGTTTAGATGTCCAACGTGGTAAGTTGCAAAGGTGAGTAGTTCTTAGACAGTTTTGACCTAGACTATCAAAAATAAATTTTGTATCTATTAAGAAAAAAATAAATAGTTCCCATAGTTTGGGGGGTTTTTTGTGTGTGAAATGAAAGAAAAAAAATTTCCTATGCTGTTTGGAGTTTGGACTTAGTATTTCACAGGTGAAAAGAACTAAAAAAGTATTTTTTGATGAGAAATTAATGTTCTTAATATCACCTTCACAAGTAGAAGAGGATTCTTTTGGAGAAACTTTTAAGTTACACAACTGACCACCTGTTGGTTGGAGTTTCTACTTTTATCACGAAGTATAGGCTTCTTTCAGAGACAGGGTGGGCACTCTTAGTAGATACTTGACTTTCCTCAATATAAAAAATCTTATTTCCATACAAACATAGTGTTCTTGTTTTTTACCGACCCTAATCTTGACCAGGCCCAGTTAAAGGCCCAAGAAGAGGAGCGTCAGAAGAGGGAAGCAGAAGAAAAGGAGGCTCAGCTTAAGAAAAAACGAGAAGAGAAGAGACTACAGAAAATGGTTCGTAGAGTCTGGCCAATCACCTGTCTCTTAAAGCCTACTGTGTGCAATACCGTGGCCCTGTGCACCTTCTCCATCCCCCAACTTCCCTCTAGAACATATGTCTCGCACCTCCACCCTTTTTCCCCACCTTAGTGAAAAACATGCTCATTCTTCAGATCGAAGCTTTTTGAAGATTTGAAATCTTCTCTCAGATTAGCTTTTCTTGCCTTTTACACTCTTCTCCAACCAAGGTTAGGTTAAGTTCCCCATATGGACTCTGAAATAAATTTCCTCACAGCATTACCAGGGCTTATAATTCTGCATATGTTTTGTGATTGTCTTAATGATTTCAGCATCCCCAACTAAAAACTAGAATCTCCTGGAAGATAAAGGGAGCAGTCTGGTGTTGCTCACTATTGTATTGATTAGCAGTGTCCCTGGCATATAGTAGGAACTCAGCAAGCTTGCAGAATAAGCAAGTAAATGAATGAACAAATGGAAGAAAATACACCCAGAAGAAATAAGAGATAAAACCCTTACTTTCAAGATTATTAAGTTCTAGTTGGAAAGATAAGGCCTAAAAATGCACAGTGTCAGACAATATATAGTACAGCATATGTTGTCTTGTGCCTCAAAGACCAAAGAAGAGGCACCTGGGTGGTTCAGTCGGTTATGGGTTCAACTCTTGATCTCAGTTCACGTCTTGATCTCAGGGTCATGAGTTCAAGGCTTGTGTTGGGCTCCATGCTGGGCATGAAGCCTACTTAAAAAACACCAAAGGGGCAGCCCAGCAGTTTAGTGCCAACTTCAACCCGAGGTGTGATCCTGGAGCCCTGGGATCAAGTCCCACATCAGGCTCCCTGCATGGAGCCTGCTTCTCCCTCTGCCTGTGTCTCTGCCTTTCTCTGTCTATCATAAGTAAATAAATAAATCTTAAAAAAAAAAATCTTTAAAAACACCAAAGGAGATCAAGAGAGCCATGTAAGGCAAGACCTATAAAGATTGGGGGAATATTAGAGACATTTTCATAGAAAAGAGCTTCAAATTGGGAATTGTATTAGGATTCTACAGAGAAATAGAAGCAATAAGATGTATGTATAAGAAGGGATTTGTTATGAAGAATTGGCTCAAATGATTATAGAGGCTGAGAAGTCCCACAGTCTGCCTCTGCATACCGGAGACCCCGGAAAGCAGCAATGTAATTCCAGTCCTAGTCTGAATTGATAGTAAAACTCTAGTTTAAGGTCAGGAGACCAATGGCCCAGCTCAAGCAGGCAGTCAGGAATTAAAAAAGGAGTACATTTCTCCTTTTGTCTTTTGGGTCCTGTTTAGCCCTCAAGGGATTGGATGATGCCCACCCACATTTGGGAAGGCAGTCTAACAGAGTCCGTGGATTCAAATGCTAATCTCATCCCAAAACACATTCACCAACACACCCCTACGTGTTTAATCTAGGCACCCTGTCGCACGTTCTAGTTGGCACATAAAATTAACCATCACGAGTCTACCCTTTATCAATTTGGCACCCATACACATCTCCTTAAACCATACTTAATCTCCAAATAAAGACAAGAAGATCATAATACATGATGCAACTATCCTGCATACAACCAAAAACGTGCTAACTCCCCTTCCCCAGAAGAGGAGATAAAGTCCTTGAGTGATGTTTATCCTTCTCATTGATATCCCATAACTTAAATATTGTGATGTAAAATTAAAAATATTTAAACACAATGATACAAAGTCAATATATCTTATATTATTATTCATTGTGGAACATTTGAGAACTAGAAAAAAATGGAAAAAAAATCTGAGCTCAGCACTAAGAGGTAACTAAATATCTAAGTATATTTTTCTCTAAGTAGCTCTCTCTTAATAAATTGATAATTGGCGTGGAAGTGTATATAGTTTTTAGTCTGCTTTTTTCATTTAAGAGTCTTTCATGAGTGTTTTCACTTGTCATCCAGAATTCTTCAAAACCTTTATATATTGAAGGTCATTTTTTTTCAAGTTTTTCTGTAAATTCCAGTTAACATACAGTGTAATATTAGTTTCAAGTGTAGAATTTAGCGATTCATCACTTTCATACAACATGCAAAACTCATCTCAACAAGTGCCCTCCTTAATATTCATTATTTTAAAAATAAACTTTTTATTTTGGTTTACTTAGGTTTACAAAAAAGTTGCAAATGTAGTACTAAGAGTTTTCCTAAACCCCTCACACAGTTTCAGTTTCTCCTTAATATTATATTACTATGTATATCCGTCAAAACTAAGAAACCAACGTTAGTAAATTACTGTGAAAACCAGGCTTTATTTAGATTTCACCAGTTTTTCCAGTTTTTCTGACTTCTCTTTGTGTCTTCACATGGTAGGAGGAGCTAGCTAAGGAGCTTCACAGGGTCTGTTTTTTTTTTTTTTAATTTTTTTTTTAAATTTATTTATTTATGATAGTCATAGAGAGAGAGAGAGGCAGAGACACAGGCAGAGGGAGAAGCAGGCTCCATGCACCGGGAGCCCGATGTGGGATTCGATCCAGGGTCTCCAAGATCGCGCCCTGGGCCAAAGGCAGGCGCCAAACCGCTGCGCCACCCAGGGATCCCCACAGGGTCTGTTTTATTACAGCAAATCCCATTCGTAAGGGCTCCACCCTCAGACCTAAGCACTTTCCAAAGGCCTCACTTCCTAACACCACCACACTGGGCATTAGGACTTAAACATACAAATTTGGGAGGGAACACATTCAAACCATAGCACATAGTCTTTCTCTGTTTTGTTTTGTTTTGTTTTGTTTTGTTTTTTTAATGGCCTTGGCAATTTAGAAGAGTACTGATAAGGTATTTTGTAGAATGTTCCTCAATTTGTGTTGGTTTGATTTTTTTTTCTTTTTTTTTTTGGTTTGATGTTTTTCTTATAATTCTTCTGGGGTTATGGTTTTTGTTTTAAGAATGCTACCTAGATGAGGGGCCCTTCTAATCTCATCACAGCAAGGGATATATGAAATTAAGATGACATCTGGTGATGCTATGATGACTTGTATAAGGCAGTGTTTGACAAGTTTCTTCACTGTGAAGTTACTGTTTTTCCCTTTTCATACTCTAATCTTTGGAAGCATTTCATTAAGTCTGGTCTACTCCCAAGGTAGGGAGGAGTGGAAATTAAGTTCTGTCTCCTTGAGGGTCGAGTATCCACACATACTATTAGGGATTCTTCTGTGAGGAATTTTTTTTTTCCTTCTCCATTTGTTTATCTATTCAATCATTTATATCAGTGTGGACTCATGTATATTTATTTCATACTTTGAGTTATAAAAAAGTATTATTATGTGGCTGAAATTATTCCCACTTTGGCTATGGGGAGCTCTTTAATGTTGGCTCCTGTGTCCCTCTGCCATGCCTTCATCCTTTTGGTGGGTATTTTACTTTCCAACACTATTCATCTTGTATTTTCACTGCTGTGTGTTGGAATCAGCCATTTCTCCAAGGTGCCCTGGTTCTAAATGGTATTTGGAAAGCAAGATCTGGGCAGTGAGGGTACTCCTTGCTTCTGGGATGCCGTTAATTCTAGCACCTCAGCAGAGAGAGCCAAGTAATCTACGTATGTATACTAAACCATGTACACACCTATCCATAATTATTTCTGTATCTGTCCATCTGAATAAACATTAAGCTAAACCCAAGATCATACTAAATCTCTGGCTCTAATCCTGCATCAGAGCCCTTTCCTTCTTGCTTATCTGTAAATCCCCTATTTGACAGTGTAAGATCTGGTTCCCACAATTTACCATCCATTTACCTAACTTGTTCAATTCCAGTATACATGTAAAGCAATTTCAGAACTGTACCCCCCATGAGAAAATTTACCAACTGGAGTACAGTATTTATATAGTTTCTTTTGCTTTATTAAAGTTTCTAATGTGGTTTTCTAATCACTTAAGTCAGCTTCTATTTTTCCCCACCTCCTTCCATTGTTTGTAAGAAGTTTATTTCTTTTGCATATAGACATTCAGATGATTCAGTATCATTTGTTGAAAGAGCAATCTTTTCTCTACTGAAATGCCTTTATACCTTTGTCGAAAATCAGTTGAATATATTTGTGCGGGTCTGTTTCTGGATCTTTGTTCTGTTGCTTGTTACGTATACTCCTTTGCCAATACCACTTGCCTTTGACTGTTGTACCTTTATAGTAAATCTTGAAATTGGGCAGTGTGAATTCTTCCACTTTATTTTTCCTTTTCTGAGTGATTTGGCTCTTCAGGTTTCTTTGCCTTTTTATGTAAGATTTAGGCTAATCTTGTCAACACGTACAAAAAAAACCTTTAGATTTTGATTGTGATCATATGGAATCTATAGATCAAATTGGGAGAATTGACAATAACATTGAGTCTAATCTATGAGCATGGTAATATCTCTCCATTGATTTAGATCTTTGTTTCGTGAATGTTTTATAGTTTTTCATGACTATGTTTTGTTAGATTTATACCTAAGTACTTCTTTTTTGGTGCTATTATCAATGGTGGGGTTTTATTTATTTCAAATTCAATTTATTCATTGCTAATATATAGAAACAATTCATTTTTGTATATCGACCTTGTATTCTGCAACCTTGCTAATCTCACTTATTAGTTCTAAGAAGTTATTTTTGTGGATTCTTTGGAATTTTCTATAAGTTGTCTGCCAATAAAGGCAGTTTTATTTCTTCCTTTTCAATCTGTTGCCTTTTATTTTTCTTGCCTTATTGAACTAGCTAGGAATTCCAGTGCAAAGTTGAATAGAAGTAGTGAAAGAAGACATCTGTGCCTTCTTCCACACCTTAGGGAGAAGATTCAGTCTCTCATCTTTACCATCATATATGTCATATACTTTAGTTTTATATATACTATAAATACCCAACACCTTCTTACCTGTATTGCTTTAAACAATTATATTTTATAAGCTAGGGGCACCTGGGTGGCTCAGTCAGTTAAGCACCCAACTCTTGATGAGCTCAGTCAGTTAAGCACCCAACTCTTAGATTCT